CAGGCGTATTGAAAGTGATTTACACTTTGTGGGGGTGTATCTTTTGTTCTATGATCACAAATGGCTCCCAAGCTCTGACCAGTTGCTTTATAGATTCCTGCACTGTACTTCAAGCCATAACCACTGCACATGTAGCTGGGTGTGGCTCAAGGCCGACAGCACACACGGTGTAGCGGGGAACGCGCGCTCCTCGCCGTGTCGAGCGGCGTGGGCCTGGGGAAGAACCAATGGTGCCACAGCCCGTGATGTGCACAGTTATGTGGGTGACGGCAGTGTGCGGCGTGCAGACCATTCAATCATCATCATCATCGGCCATGGTCTATCCACTGCATGACGAAGATCTCAGCAAGCCATCGCCACCACTCCGCGGTCTTGCAATGCGACAAACCGTCTGGCTGCTGCTGCTGCACGCTGAACAGATTTCATTCCTCCGTTCCAATGTGGACACGGTCCTGGGCGTGTTCCCTCCTTTTGCTGCGGCCTCCTTCATTCGCTTTAAACATCAGCCATCATCCTTTCCAGCAATATGTTCCGGCCAAGCCCACTTCTATCAATGGTCAATATGATGTCTATAACCTACATATGTTCTCTTTAATCCATGTGACATGAATCCATGTGACGTGGATAAAAAAAAACATATGCCTTTCAATGGCAAGGACATTTTGTACACATTTCATAAGTAGATCGTGTGAAGACGGTCAGACTGCATATATGGGGAAAAAAAATCGGTGTCCATGATCAATCCAACTTTTGGGTCGATTCATCTTAGCCGACAGTTCAGAACCAATATCAGAAATGCCACACTGCCATGCTGAAAAGACAGTATCTCCAGACAGTCAGTGTAGAAATATATACCTTATAAATTGTGTGTAGAGATAGAAAGGGAGAATAAAAACAATACATGTTGCTGAAAATCTAACTTACTCAACAAAAGACACTTCTGCTCCATCTCAATTCATAACAGAAAAATACAATCTCTTAGGCGTTTTCTTAGAATGAGGTGCACGCACATCTGCGTCAAGCCCTGGTGGATGGGGAGGATTTATGGATTTCTGTGCACAAACCAGACACAGATGTTGGAAGTAACTGATAAAGCATTGTGCAAAGATATATTTTTTTCCTGAAGTTCTGCCAGCCTAAAGAACAAACTCTAAATATAAACACATGTGCCAACGACCCACATACATAGAGTTGGATACAGCGTGGCACGAAAAAGATACCTCCAAAGGAAACAAAACTATTACGTTCCACCAGTGCAGTTTAGTGCTTTGTTATATTTTTTTTACTGTAATATTTATTACACTTGTTTACCACGGAAAAGCCTCACCGAGTCCCATGACTCTTTTTTCAGGAGGTTCCTGCCAAGATTTTACAGGAGGGAGCAATGCTTTCCATGTAATATATGCGGGTAATTTTTCTAATGTGGGAAATTTGGATCATGATGCTGGCACACAATGGCCTACTCTTGCATATGACATCACAGCACCACAGACCATCCAGTGTGAAGCAGTATTATTATAATAACCATGAATAAACCACAATTACTGATCAGGGTGGTCGCTGAATTCGAGCAAGGAACCTCATGCGGCATGCAATGAACACACCTAGGCCATGTCACACCCCCCTTAAAGGAGCATGGGGCAATGCTGATCTTCTGTGTACAGCTGTGAATCATTACCTGAGTTCCACTATCCTATGGTGGGGGCAAGTCTATCGACAAGACAATTACTGTTGACATCCACAAAGTGATAGTCATTTTGACCTCTAAGATAGAATGGCAGGTCAACCTCAACCGATTATTGAACTCGCAACAATATATTGTGAGATGCTCACTAACCACTGGTCATTATGACTGTAACAATATTTTTTGACAAAATATATGACATGTAAATGTAAAATATATTATATATGTTAAAACGTGGACTGTCGTGGATACAAATAGACTGTACTGTTAAGGAATAGACCAGGTATCAGTTGACAAAAAGCATATTGTTAAAGTCTGTTGAAAGAAAAGGATTAAGGGCGTTGGCCAGACTTTGCACTGCGTGTGCTTTATGCTGCAATGTGTGTATTAAGATAGCTGCCGCTGTGGGCTATTAACTGTTTTCCAGCAGGCAAGCAGGCCCAATAAACACCAGTGTACTGAAGCAGAGGTTCATCTTGAGCGTAAGACACATGCATTAAGGTTCCTGTTTAATACCATTGTCAACGTCACAGTCAGTCAATTTTAGATCATGTGCACACATGCGCTCTTTGAGGGAACAGTAGTCAATTCCCCTCCCTTGTGTCAAAATCACAAGGGAATTTTAGCAGCTGTTACTTTACGTCCAGCAACGATGCAATAGTGCCAACCGTAGTTGCTTGCACTGCTCCCTTATGCAATGCTGGGGTGGTATGTTGACTGTAACGTAGAGCGGAAGCTACATTTGCACCCTGTCCACAAGGTCTTTTTGTTGGGAGGCCAAAAATAACCAGTGTTGACATTTCAGCCGATAGGCTTTCAATAGCCTTCAATAGCCAACATCTACACAATCCGCAGCATTTCATTGCTTGGCGTGTTTTGAATTCCCTTTTATGCCTGTTAACCGCCGAAAACGCTGATGAAAACTGCACCACACAAGAGCCCAATGTTACTGTAAAGCACCAGTGCATCATCCCATTGTTATTGTTCAAAGCAATATCTTGACCCAATAAAGAAGCCAACATCAACAATAAAATAAAAATCTGCAGACACACAAAATTAAATATACTCCGGATAAAGGGGAACAAAAACTGTGCCACGTGCATACGAGAGAATGTATGATTACACGCACTATTTTCATAGACGTCTGGCTTGTTCACCGTGCATCAGTGGACGTTTCATTGTGATTCAAGGGTCAAAATTGTCCCCGAACAGAGGGTGGGAGTAGTGGTGGAGGTAGGGGAGGTGGTGGGGGAGACGGGGACAAGAGAGCAAGCGGAATGCTAAGAGCAAAATGCTTGCCAGGGACTGTCTGCTCGTATTAGAAGCTTGGGGTTGACGAGTGGCAGGCAAGATAAATTATATATCAAGAGTGGCCCGATAGAGGAATCGTGGGGGGTGCGTGCACCAGCAGGAAAAAGATTTCACTTGGCAGGATTTGTATTGCTAACCTTTGCAGCACTGGGATGCGGCACAAACGAAAATATATTTTTAAAAGTAGACGTTGATAAATTAAAGGCATTGAAGGTACTAAACTGAAGTTACGTCTTAAATTATGTTAAATAATAAAAATGCTTAAATAATTATTTATGCCTTCAGGCAGATTACACGAGATTGTAATTGCTCGACAAAAATCTTAACCTTTTGAACCAACAATTTAGCTTTATTATTTTAAAAAATCCCTCCCGATTTTCACTTTTAAACAAGAATCCTAACTTAAACCTCTTATAATATACACAGGCTCAAAATAATAAGAGCTTCTTACTGTAAAAACTTGGGAGGAAAGCTGCGGAGAATAATGCCTTTGCCTTCCCACAATTAACTTTGATTGGCGGCACCCATCAGTAAGAGGTTGTTCAGCTCAAATTCATCACACAGGCAAACAGATAAATTACACACCTGTTCATCAAATTGATTTTTTTTCAGGAAAGGATAACGCCACTTTTGATTTAAAGCTTTCGTGATAATGTTGAAGTTTTGTGCAAAACTAGCTACTACTGGCCAAGACTAATTTGAGAATCTATCGAAATTTAAAGAAATCAAAATAACTTTAACCGTTCGGATAGCTACCGCCTTAGTGCTGCGTGGAAGCGAATCATCAAATAATACATTATTTAAATGCATGCCTACAAAGGGCAGCGTACTTTATTAGGCATTATCGTTGGTAGGGCTATTTTAATAAACACAATAGACAGGAAGAATAAGTTCAAAGGGCTCACATAATGCACATGCATAATGTACGTGGCATCAGTAATCCCCCCCCCCACATTGTGCAAGAGCTCAGAAGCGCCTCTATATAACGAAACAGTAAGACTATGGGGACCTCATTTGCCAGTAAAAATATGATAATTGGTTCTTTACCCTTCTATCTGGCAACAAAACTGACACCTTTTTGCAAGGAGTCATGTTTGCATAGACCGCAATACCTGCAGTCATAATACAACAAAAGAACATAACTCTGATAATGGTCCAACCCATGTGAGACTAGGCTCTAAGGAAAGCTGTCTCGGGTGTGGACCAATCAACTTCAAGGACAGTGCACATTATCAGAGTTATGTTCTTTTGTTTGTATTATGACTGCAGGTATTGCGGTCTATGCAAACATGACTCCTTGCAAAAAGGTGTCAGTTTTGTTGCCAGGTAGAAGGGTAAAGAACCAATTATCGAAACAGTAAGACTTCTCCACAAATCTGGCTGTCGCCTGATGAGGCTAGTTGTAATTACTGGCGAAACGTCGTACTCAGATTGTAAATGTTGTGGCTTGGCTCTCCAACACACAGGTGTGCTGTGCTCGTGACAAATTGGCATGTTCTGTTTACGTGACAACCCTTACTAATTGGCTGTGTCAGGTGGTGGTGGGTTTTAACATGTATATATTTACGCAATCTAACCCAAAAAAAACTCTATTATGGAAAACTATAAACTACAGGGTGTTTCAAACAGATGGACCCAATTTCAAAGCAGTATATTTCACGATGGCAACATGTTACAATTACACAAAAAGTTACAAACGGTTTAATGAGTTATCAAGTTTTACTAACCATTTTATTAATGCTCTATGTGCCCTCCACCTGCTGTACAGACAACATCGAGACAATAGTTGAATTCGTCCCAAACGCCTCTCAAAGTGTCTTCTTCCACTAAAGTCACCGCTGCCGTGATTCTGTTTTTGAGGTCATCCAGATTAGTCGCTAATGGTGGCACAAAAACAAGGTCTTTGACGTATCCCCACAAGAAAAAGTCGCAGGGTGTGATGTCTGGGGATCTTGGGGGCCAAGAGTGTAGCGCCAAGTCTTGGGTCCCGTGCGACCTATCCAACGTTGGGTCAGTTTGTCACTTAGAAAACGTCGAACCTGCAGGTGCCAATGTGGCGGTGCTCCATCTTGCTGAAAAATGAAGTAATCGGAATCTTCATCAAGTTGTGGAAAGAGCCATTTCTGCAGCATTTCGAGATACGCTTGCCCCGTATTTGTGTTTCCCTCGAAAAAGAAAGGGCCATAAACCTTTCTTTGAGAAACAGCACAAAACACGTTCACTTTCAGGGAATTACGCTCATGCACTACAGTTTCGTGTGGATTCTCTAATCCCCATATGCGCACATTGTGACGGTTAACTTTACCGCTTAGATGAAACGTTGCTTCATCACTAAAAATCAAACGCAGTAAGAAGCTGTCGTCCTCCATGTTCTGTAACATTGCATCACAAAATACTACACGCTTTCCTTTGTCACCTGCACGAAGAGCCTGTACCATTTGCAACCGGTATGGCCTCATGATTAAACGTCGCCTTAACACACGCCAGACAGTCTTATGAGGGATCGCAAGTTCTCGGCTGGCACGAGTGGACTTGCGTGGTCGCCCTGTGCTCTTCCCCTTACATAAACAGCCTGTTTCCTCAAATTGTCGATACCAACAACGAATGCTCTTTCACATTGGCGGATCAATGCCAAAACGCTGTTGAAACGCACGCTGCACCGCAATTACGGATTCAGTCTTGCTGAACTGCGGAACGCAAAACGTCTTGTGTTGCGGGTCGCCATCTTGCAAATGACTGAGGCGAGGGGCTGTTTGTGCGCTGGGAGAGGCATCTAGCGGTAATCATTTGAAACTCTATGCCCCGCCCTTTCAAGTGGTAAGAGTTTCATTCATGGGCGGTTCGTGATTGCAGAGATAGTGATTTCAAATCAGGTCCATCTTTTTAAAACACCCTGTATAAAAAAACAATAAACTATTTTTATTTCACCAGATAAGGCCTACTAAAATACATAGCTATTTTTCATTCGCGACCTGGCCACAAACTATAGTTTAAAGTGGCTTATCAGGTGGAAATTTATAGCAGCCAAATACTCTAAACAAATGTTTCTAAATGTGGAGGGAAAACCCGGAGGATCCGCAAAAAAATCCACGTGGTCACGGGGAGAAAATGCTCCAAAAATACAGGCGTTAGGGTCAGGATCACACCCACGACCTCCTGTATACCAGGCGAAGCAGTTAACATCTCGTCACCGTGGCACTCCATGACCCACATAGCATGGGGAGACCCTTATCCAGCATTGGATTGACCAAAGGGCTGCTTGCACATGTACACAAGTGAATGTCTCCCCATTCATGATCTTTTCCACTGTTCAAATGACACTATCGTTACGTAACCCCCTACCTATCTTTTTAGTTGCCTTTTTTCACAACATGGGTCTCTCCCCCACTCCGATACAGCATCTTCAGATGCCATTGCATTTATAATTAATATCAATTACTATTGTTTTGGACTATATGTGTATTCCGTATCTTCCGAGATCATCTCATCAGCAGTCCTCATAAGCTAAGCGGTCTTAAGCCTGGTGAGTGCTCGACCGGGTGAGTCACCATGAGTGTCACAGGCTGTTGCAGAGCTATGCTGCAGGCATAGCCTCAATCGTTGAACTGTACGTCTATGGATCCACGTGTCTTCACAACCAGTATTTACCAACGTGAAGTAAAGAAAAAAACCTCCATGACCCACGTGGCATGGAGAGACCCTTACAAAAGGGCTGCACATGTCCACAAGTTGGTTATCTCCATATATATAAGGCAAAGTTGTGAGTATGTGTGTCTGTTCAAAATGTTTAGCTGCTTCCCGACATGCAACACACATGAAATTTGCCATGTGGGTACTTTCCAGACTGTACACCATGCACAAATTATAAAAATACACTTTTTGGGGGGGGGGGAGGGAGCTCAATAATGCATATATTTTTTGCACGGCAAGTGAGCTGTGACGTCAAATCTGTCATGTGACCCACGCATGTGGAAGTGTAACGCATTGGAGTGTAGTGGTTAGCGCGCTGCGCTACGAACCCGGCGACCAGAGTTCGATTCCCGCTCACGGCCACCACCGGTGACGATTATTTGAACCAGTCCTGGGCCTCCCTAGGTCGACTCAGCCTCAAACGAGTAACTGTTGTGGTGTGAACATCGCCACTGGGGAGACAAAGGCGGCCGGGTGTGGTGAATCCAAGTCCCGGGCAAAGCCGGGTAGTACAGCTAGTACATTTATAAACCACAAAGCCACTATATAATGCACCTGCTGACACCACATCATAGAATGTTTGTTTCTTTGGAGAAGCAGCCACTTGAAAGGTATCAAACTCCCTGCGGAAGAGGACCAATGAGCTTAGCGGTCATTGCTGCTACCCTCATCCACTCTCTCAAACTCCCCACCTACAGGACCGACGTTCCCAGGGTGTTAATTTCCAATACTGTGAAGAATAGCAGCTGACTTTGCGCTTGAATGTGCCAGGCATGAGGCATGAGATAACATTAATGTGCCTTCCTTCACACTGTATTCTCCATCACGCTTATCTACACACGTCAGTGGTATTCCACTACAAAACATTACATGTAGGGAAACCCACTGAATATTTATTCATGTTGATTATGAAACTTATGATACATGCACAAAATGGTATGCGTAAGAATGTACTTGATTTTATTCGTACGTGTTGTAGTGGGGGTGGAAGGTGCCGCAGTGGTAAAAATACTGGCCTATAAACCCACCCATCAACATAAGTTTGCATCTGAGCCATGGCTAACAACGGTCTGGGAATTGCTCATCTTTAAGATGTAAAGAAGAGTCCTGTGGATAGCGGGATTGACAAAAAAACAACAGCAGTTGGTGAATAAATGACCCAGTCATGGGCACTTCCCTTCGCTCAACTGTGCTGATAAGCATGGTGACTGACATGGCATGGGAAGGAAATATTTTAACAGTGAAGAAACAAAGGATTGCCAAACTATTATTGTTTTAATTATTGCATGTTACAATGGGTATTATTTTCATTGGTGCATTGTCTGTTAAAACATGGATGTGTGTGTGTCCATCTGTACGTCTTCCTGAATGTTGATGACTCTCACCTGATTAAGTCAGTGATGTCAGTTAAATATATTTATAAAGACGATCAATTTGAAGTTATTGTAATGTTCTGACTTGCCCCTACTGGACATTTGTAAAAAAAATAGCGTTATAGCTCATCAGATTCCTCCAGCATAATTACATATTCTGATTCTGTACTTCAAACAAAGAAACGGACAAAGACAATGGAAGAAAGGCTGAAGGGTGCACAAAGGAGCATGGAGAGAGATACATGCTTGAAATTACGGCACAGGTTTCCATACATTTATGCAGGTTTGGATTGTACGATTTCTTGTATATGTGGCTGGCTAACCTATTTCTACCCAATGATCACTAAATGTGGTTTGAATCCACTCATATGCGGTCGAACATGGGGTAACATTGCGTGTACTGTATCCACGACTCGGCAGCCAGCCGTCTTGTGCGGAGCATTGTGTGTTTTGGCGACTGTGCAGTCGATGCTACGCGATTTCGCTTTGTGCGCCCCTTTATTTTTGGAATGCACCTACCGCGTAAAGCAAGGCAAACCTATAGTGGGACAGAAAAAAAGAACACGGCTTATCATGAGAATATTGAAAATTCAATTTTTTTATTATTATTAACGTCTAATAAGCCAACATGGAGCAGTCAATACACATACTGCCCGTGGGTCAATACGCATGCTGAATGGGATGGAAGCTTCGTCTTAAGCACTTGATTAGCCTGGCTGTACCACCACGGTGGGCCCCACACCGCTATCTGTAGGAGACAGCGCTGTCAATCTACATCAGCCTGAAAATTGACATCTAAAGCCCCGACCAGCTTGATGTACCGATCACGGAGGTGTGTAGCCTAGCAACAACGGTGGTGTGCAGCAGGCATAGCTGTGTGTGCCGGGCGGCTCAGCCGGTTCAACACACGCTGGAGATAAAAAAAAGAAAAACAGGAGCCGTCTCCCGGTGCGCAGTGAGAATCTATGGGATAAAGCATGCATAGTTTTATTTTCCAAGTGGGGGTTCAACGGCATTTACATTTCAAAAAAAGATAGAAAATGAGTGAAAATCCTGTTCAATAAATATTCTGAGTATTGCGTCCCTTTAGTCAATACGCTACTGGATCCCGCGTGCAGCAATAGCCACACACAAACCCCACTCATTGCTTCCCAGAATTGTGTCTGCGCACAAGCTATGGTGAACATGCTCTACATAATTAAGGCATTACACACATCTTCTTGGTTCTTTCGGTAAAGTCACGTAGAAGGGAAATAATAAAATAATAAAATAAAACATAATAAAATACAATTCTCACGACGTTTCAGCCACAACGCAAGCAGCCGTCCTCAGGTGAAGAACAGGGCTGTCGGAAAGACAGGGTCTTTCGATAGCCCTTTTACGTGACTTTACCGAAAGAACCAAGAAGATGAATCCCTGCAGTCACGAAAGCTTTTAGATTGAAATTTAGCATTACACACAGTTGCAGTTTATATTTATGAGAATGCACGTGCAATTCCATAGTCAGTCCACTGCTGGAAGACAGATCCTCCCCATGCCATGCAAGTCACGGGGGTCTTTTGAGCATGCTGATGAGGAGTGCAGGTTGGTAATGGTGAGGATCAAACACGTGGGAGCATAGACGTACAGTACAATAATTTATTTGCTTAACTACTCTCTGCTATCTTCTTGGTTCTTTCGGTAAAGTCATGTAGAATGGAAATAATAAAATAATAAAAAAACATAATAAAATAGTGAGAATAATAGTGAGAAATATTTTATTATGTTTTATTTTATTATTTTATTATTTCCATTCTACGTGACTTTACGAAAGAACCAAGAAGATGAATCCCTGCAGTCACGAAAGCTTTAAATCGAAATTTACTCTCTGCTACCTAGCAGGTAGCCCCACTACTCTATGGAAGGCAACCTGTGTTATGCATGGTGGTAACTCATCCAAGCATTGTACAGGCTCGCAACTGCTTAGCTTCTGGGGTCTGACGAGTTCAGGTGCATTCTGGCTAATCGGGTCATTCCAAATAAATACCAGCACGTGACCAATTGCATTTCATTACACATTACTCATCACAAACGTATGCCATTGATCAAAATCTATGGATGTGCACGAAACCTCGTGTTACACGTGGTCAACAGCAATGGCATGGCGATACACCTTTGGACGTACATTCCAACCCTGCTTTTTGTTAAGCCATGCTGCTGTCTGCCTCGCGACACTGAATAAATGCAACCTTTAAATTTTAAAGAAGCGGCACTTAACGGCAGCGGAACTACAAGCTCAGCACTGCCTTTATGCCATCAGTTCTAAGCCGATTATTTAGCACTGTGAAATAATGACTCACATCTACTAACCCTCCGTGTTAACTCTCTCGTTGCTAAACAACCTTGGAAATGTATGCATTTTGATTGCAACATATCATATTCATACACCCAGCTATTCATAATTATCAGCCATGAACTATCCACTGCTGCATGGAGGCCTCCAAACTCCAAGCCGTCGCCATCTCTCATGGTCACGTGATTCGCCAATTAATTTAGCACCCGCACTTGAACCAATTCCAACACGCCATTCTCCATGCTGGATATCCTCCTGAGCTCGTTCGCTCCTTTGGCTGCCATTGTGGCATTAATCTCAATCACCGGCCACCATCCCTTCCAATCATGT